GGTCTTTGTGTTACTAAAAATTGTTTTTTTTTGGTTGGTTGTTTTCTTATTTATAATATATTTGTTGGTTTTTTAAAAGCAATCATGAATTTGTTTGGAGGATTTTTTCCACTTTGTTTCACGGTTACTTTTTGCTTTTTGTTTTCATATTTTTCTAGACAAAAGTGTTTAAAATTTTGATGATTTGGTTTTGGTACAAAAATAAATCGAGAGGTTTCTTTTGAAATTATTTTTAAGGGTTTATGGTTTTTTACGGTTTCTTACTTCTACATTCTAAAATCTAAATTTTCTTAGTATTTTAATTTCTTTTATTACAGGGGAGTTTGCTTATGAAAATTTCTACTATGGGAAAGCTTATGTTTTCAGGTTATTTTTTAGTCCGAAATATGAACTGTCCGAGACAAGGACAATTATTGGTGGAATTGCAAGTTGCACCCATGGGATGTTTTTCTCCTTTTATCCAGATCGAAGACGTTCTAAAGTTTAATCCCTCTTTTCAAGATTGAAGTCTATTTAGGATTGTCGAATCATAAGGTGGTCTATCAGTGGTTGTAACTTTTATGAGTTCACCTCATATACAAATTCTAACAGCCACTATTGCTGAACTCTATTGATTTCTAAAGAAAACGACATTCTACAAGTATTAATACTGAGATTAAACCATGGGAAATGAATCTTCAATTTTTTTTTAAAACATTGGAGTTTAACAATTTAATTTGCATTATATTCTTTGACGATTATGTTTGTTTGTGTGTATGGACAGCAAAACATAACATATAAAACTAAAGATGATCTCAGTCAATTTATATCTAAAGAAGATATTGAGAAGAGAATGTTTATAGCGTGGATGGAAAATAAAAATAGAGAATCTGAAGAGATCTCCCAAGTAATTTATTTGGAAATTATCGAATGAAAGCAGGAGAAATTTATAGGAAGAATAGTCAATATCCATCCATTAGCAAGAGAGTTAAACTATTTAAGAATACTACTCAACAAACTAAAAGGACTAAAAAGTTTCAATATCCATCCTTAATAGTTGGGGTTAAAAAATATCCAGATTCTAACAGTGAAGTGGGGAGTCCTCTTAAATTATGGAAGAGCTGTTGAAAATCACACGATAAAAGCATGTTTAACAGAAAAGTCAAAACTTTCTACTTTCAAAGGCTACATCTAAAAGAATATGAGCTCCAATAATACAACTTGACTGAAACATAGAAGGTAATGATGCTA